TTATGATCTGAGAAGATGCTTTGCAGTATTTCAATGTTTTTAAATTTATTGAGGCTTGCTTTATGGCCTAACATATGGTCTATCATGGAAAATGTTCCATGTGCCCTGGAAAAGAATGTATGTTATGCTGTTTTTGGGTGAAGTGCTCTGTAGATGTCCATAAAGTCTAGTTGGTGGATTGTATTGTTAGCTCTTCTGCATCTTTGTTGAGTTTCTTTCCAGTTGTTCTATCTTTCATTGAAAATGGAGTATTAAAGTCTCCTACTGTGACTGTGGAGTCATCTATTTGCCTTTTCAACTCTTTTAAAGTCTGATTTATGTATTTTTGGGCTCTTTCCTTGGGTCTATAGATATTTATTATGGTTATATCTTCATGTTCAATTGAACCTTTAATCATTATATAATGTCCTTCTTTGTCTTGTATGGTTGTTTGTTTCTCAATGTCAGTTTGATCAGAAATTAATATTGCTACTCCTGCTCTTTTAGTGTTGCCATTTGGTTGATATATCTTTTTCCAACCTTTGATTCTTAGTCTATTTTTGTTTTTGTCTCTAAGGTTTGTCTATTGTAGACAGCATATTGATGGGTTATGTTTTCTTATCCAATCTGCAACTCTCTGTCTCTGGAGTGGTGCATTTAATCCATTAACATTCAGTGTAATTATTGACAAGTATGATTTTGTTGCTGTCATTTTGTTATGTGTTTTTTCATGGTGTCCTTGGTTTCTTTGTTCCATATCATTTTCTGTGCTGAGCTCATTGTGTTTATGAATCCTGTTATCAGTTCCTTTGTTGCTCTTGTTTTAGTATTTGCTTGTATTTATGCTTGTCCTCTTTTTTATTGTGATGTGAAGGTTTATCATTTTTCTTTGAGGTTACACTGTGACTTATAATTTTCTCCACAATATTAGAACAACACATTCTATCTTGCAACTCTATTGACTTTCTCACCATTTAGAAGTTCTGTAACTGCACAGTATTATCCCTCTTTTTGCTTTGTAGTTGTCCTCACTTGCCAATTGATGTCTCTGGTTCCCTGTTTACAATCTTGTAAGCTCATTTTACTTTGGATATGTCCATACCTGTGGTTTTTTGATTATGTCATCTTTTGTATTAATGGTCAGTTGTTGTTTGCTATTTTTGGTTCTCTGTTCATCGGACTCCCTTTAG